TGGAAATCTGTTTGCATCTGTTTTATGGATTCCATTTGTTTCTTATGTTGGGATTCCATCATGTTCCTCAGCTCCTCTGTAGATTTATTAATCATGTCTTGCACTAGGAGCACAATCTCTGCTGTTATCTGAGAAATTATTTCTGATTTCATTTTTTTCAGATCCCCTTTTGTTGCCAGTTCAATGGGTTCAGGTGGTTGAGTATCAGGATGTTCCATCTCATTTCCCTTTGGGATTGCTGTAGGTGATCTGGGAGTCTGGTTTTGAGACTTATTTTCTTGTCTTCTCATTTTGACCAGGGGTAGGGGGGTGTGTGTTGTTGGCACCCAGATGGCTCACCTCCTCTGAGCTAGGAGAGGTGGGACGGGCCACGAGCGGCAGGACGCAGGTCGCCTGGAAGCCCCTTCTTCTGGGCCGGGAACGGCAGGAGGGATGGTGGCCCAGAAGCCCCTTCCTCTGGACCAGGAGCAGTGGGACTGGGATGGCAGCTCAGAAGCCCCGACCTCTGGGCCAGGAGTGGCAGGTCGGATGGCACCCTGGAAGCCCCTTCCTCTGGGCCAGGAGTGGAGGGCTCGAAGGTGCCCCAGAAGCCCTTTCCTCTGGACCAGGTGCAGTTGGACAACGGCTCAGAAGCCCCTACCTCTGGGCCGGGAGTGGTGGGAGGGACAGCAGCCCAAAAGCCCTTTCCTCTGGGCTGGGCATGGGCTGGATGGTGGCCCAGAAGCCGCTTCCTCTGGACCAGGAGCAGTGGGCCAGGCTAGCTTTCTTGTAGAATGTCTCATGTTCTTAATTTGTATGATTGTTTCCTCATGTTATTATTTAAACCTTATTCTTATTTCTCTTTCTTTCTTTCTTTCTTTCTTTCTTTCTTTCTCTTTCTTTCTTTCTTCTTTCGGTACTGGGGATTGAACTCGGGTCCTTGTGCTTGTGCAGCAGGCGGCGAAACCACTGAGCTAAATCCCTGGCCCTCTCTCTGTTTCTTTTAAACTTAAAGGTAGGTCTATAGCAGATAGGTCTGTAACCTTTCCTTCACAGACTCTTTTCTTTTTTAAAAATTAATTTTATTGGTATACTTTTGATATATAGAATAATCATATTCATCACATGGAATTTTTACCTGAACATGACATATCTTGATTCTTCTCTTTTTCCACATACCCATACCCTCCTTTCAACCCTTCTTCCCATTTATAAAACCTTTATTTCAGTTTTTTCCTTTTGTTCTTTTTATCCTTTTCCCTTCCTTCCATTCCCTTCCCCCCTACCTTGTTCTCCTGCATGTTTGAACATTTTCTGCCTACTTCCCAATATCTATCATCTATTTGGGTCCATATTTACCCTTTCAATTTTTCACACAAGAAACACAATGCAGTATTTAAATATGTGTATCCGATTTATTTCACTTAAAATTATATTCTCAAGGTGCACCCATTTACCTAAAAATGTCTCAAGTTTATCCTTCTTTTTGGCGGTGTAGTACTCCATTGTATATAAAAACCACACTTTCTTTATCCATTCATCTGTTCATAGACATGTGGGCTGTTTCCAAGATTTAGGTATTACAAATTATGCAGCTATAAATGTAAGTGTGCATAAGTTGCTGTGGTATGATGCTTTTAATTCTTTCAGGTAGATAACAAGAAGGGGAATAGCTGGGTCAAATGGAACCTCTAGTTTTACTTTTTTGAGGAATCTCCATGATGATTTCCATATTGGTTGTACCAATTTACATTGTCACCAACAGTGGACAAGGGTTCCTTTTTACCCACAGCCTTGCCATCATTTGTTATTGGTTGAATTCTTGATGATAGCTATTCTTTCTGGAATGAGATGGAATCTAAGTGTTTTAATTTTCATTTCTTGAATGACCAATGATGTTGAAAATTTTTTCATATATTTATTAGCTGTTTGTACTTCTTCATCTGAGAAGTATGTATTCATTTCAGATGCTCATTTTTGGATTGAGTCATTGAATTTGGGGGAGTCTGATTTTTTGGGGGGAGTACTGGGAATCAAACTCAGGACCTTGTGCTTGCCAGGTAGGTGCGGCACCACTGAGCTAAATCCCTAGCCCCCAAATTTTTGGGACTGGGGTCTCACTGAATTGCCCGTGCTGGTTTTGAACTTGCGATCCCCTGTTTGCCTTTTTTTGAGACAGGGTCTTGCTATGCAGTTTAGGCTGGCCATGAATGCACTACATAGCCCAGGGTGGCTTTGAAGTCTCAGCCGTACTACCTCAGCCTCCCCATTGCTGGGATCACAGACGTGCACCATCAAGCCTGGCGAGTCTGACTTTTTGAGTTCTTTTATATTCTAGATATTATCCTTTGTCTGAGGAAAAGCTGGTAAAAAAACTTTCCATTCTATGGAATTTCTCGTCACTGTGTTGGTGGTTTCTTTTGCTGTGCAAAAGCTTTTTAATATGATGTGATCCCAGTTGTTGATTCTTTGTAATATTTCCTGTAGTATCGGCGTTTTGTTCATAAAGTCTTCGCCTATACCTATGCATAGACTCTTTTATTAACACCTGCCTTCTTCTTTCCCTCCCTTCCTTTCTTTCTCTTTCCTTCCTTGTACTGGGGATTGACCATGGGTTTTGTGTGTGCTGGGCAAGGACTGCACCACTGCTGAGCTTTAACCCCAGTTATTTTTGTTTGTTTGTTTTGTTTTGTTTTAATTTTATTTTGAGACAGTCTGAGTTACCCAGGCTGGCCTCAAACTTGCATTCCTTTTGCCTCAGCCTCTTGAGTAGCTGGGATTACAGGTATGTGCTAGTATGTCCCCCAACAGCAGCTTGTTTAAGTAAATGGTATAATTGGTTGTGTTTCCTTTGCATTGAAGGTACTGAGATTAGATATGCAAGAAAATCTGGAAAATGTTAAATTTAGCTTTTTAGCAAACTAGAAAGAAGGTAGAGTGGATGAGCTGTTTGTCCTGGATACTAACCTTATAGATCATTTCCTTACTTCCCACTCTTATTTTCCTATTCACTTGATTTCCCAGCCTGGCTTTTTTTTTTTTTTTTTTTTTTTTAAAAAAACCAAGCTTGCTAACTATGTACATTTTCTGCATCTTGCTGTACTTATCTTTAGGATGAGAGAACTTAGACTAGGTGATCTCTACATATTTCATTAGTAAAATAATAGAGTTTCTTCAGTATCCAATTTTAGTATTACTTCATTTATAAAGTCTTTATAAAGTCTGATACTGTAAACTTATTTATTTTGTTTAGCCCCACAAATTCTTTCAGCACTTACTAAAAATGTAAACATAGGTCAATATGTATTTTACTCATGTTTGTCTTTATGGTTTAATGCAATTGTAAGTCTTTTGAAGAATGGCACTTCTTTTCTAATTTCATTACAATGATTTTAAATCGTTAATTACTATGGGCAGTCATGTATTAAAAAATAATTATAATAGCTAACATCTGTGAACACTAACATTGAGGCAGGCATTATTTTAAATGTTTTACATATATCAGTTCCTATAATTATTAAGATAGTTATGAGATAGCATCTTTTTTCATCTCCATTTTACTGATAAAGGCACACAAAGTTATGTAAATTTCCCCATGGTTATGCAGTTGGTGAGTAAAGATGAGATATGAACCCAGGCAGACATACTTCAAAAACTTATGAATTGGGCCGGCGATTTAGCTCAGTGGTTCCTCCGCCTGCCTTGCAAGCGCAAGGACCTGAGTTTGATCCCCGGTACCAAAAAAAAAACCAACTTATGAATTATTACTGTATATTTGTTGAATGAATGGAGTGTTTCATTTTTAATATATACTTGTTGGATGGAGTATTTCATTTTTAATATATGGTGTACAGGATTGTTATCTGTACTTTGGATAAAAGACTGAGGATATTTAATTGTGGTAAGAATTTTTAACAACCAGGGACAAATAACTTTCATAGCAAACTAAATATTATGAGTAGCTTTCACAATTAACAGCAAACATTCAAATTCCATACCTATACTTTGAAGGATTTTTAAAAAGCCTTCTGGTTTTGAAAGAAAATTAGTAATGTGCATAATACTGATAGATGGATTTTGGTTCATATAACGTGTCTTAATTAGTATGTGTTTCTTACTCATTTTTAGCTGAGTGGTGATTTTATGCAATGGCTTCAAGCCACAGTTCTTCACCAGTGCCTCAAAGAAGCAGCAGTGATGTGTTCTTTAAAAAGGAGGTAGAGTCAGCAAAACACATTCGACCTGTGCAGTCACTGCCAGATGTGTGTCCCAAGGAACCCACAGGTAATGCTTTGTTTCTTAGCATTTTTACTGTTGATTTGTGTTATCTTTAGTCAAGTTTCATAAACTGACCTTAAAATAGTAAATTTTACAATGTTAAAAATAAAGAGAAATAATTTGGAAATAAGTTAATTGGGAAATTGGAACATAGCTTTTTTATGCATTTCTATAAAAGAAGTGACTTATATAAGCTGAAAAAGTATTGAAAAAGAAGGTACAGATTGAAAGATGTTCAGTTAAAACATAGTATTGTCAGTCCTTCTTGCTTGCAGATTCTAGTCATTACAGATTCTCCTGTTTGTAACCCCCAAATCATTACTCATATTCTTTTGTGCTCATTTGTGGACCCATGCAGAGCAGCAAAATTTTTGTGTTGTTTGACCACGTATTCTCATCTGTGATTGCATAAGCAGTTCTCTGCCTTCTTGTTTCAGTTCTTATTCTGTGAAAATGTCCTTTTTGTGATCTGTTTAGTCCCACATGTTTTACGTGTTTGTGCTTTTTGTGGGTGATTTTGCTATTTAAAATGGCCCCCAAGCATAGTGCTGAAGTTCTGTATTGTATTCCTAAATGCAAGAAAGCTGTGATGTGCCTTATGGAGAAAATCCATGTGTGGAATAAGTATTGTTCAGGCATGGATTATGATGCTGTTAGCCATGAGTTCAATGTTAATAAATCAGCGCTACACAGAAAATAAGGTGTCTTTAAACAGAAACATACACAAAATAGTTATCTGTTGATTGTTGAAAATGTAATCTGAAGCTCACAAGAACATTACTATTTACTTCATTTAGGAGCAGTTAGTCAGTACTATATTTCCTGATTGTTCACAGTGACATTATAGAACAAAACTGCTACAAATAACGAGAATTGAGAGTCTGTTTTTCTTTTCTCTATGGTTAATGCAATAGACTGTAGTTTTTCTTTTCTCTCTGGTTAATGCCACCTGAGTACAAGCCAAAGGATATTTGAACCAGGAGTGCCCACCATAATGCAGTTTTAAAAGAAGGCCACTTCTAAAAAATGTGGTGTATTTTTGTTTTTTGAAAAGAATGATAGAGAAATTGTACATTTAATAAAGGAATTAATGAAAAGATTTTCTGTATATCCACCCCAGCTGACAACTGCTGCTCTCAGATTTTGCATATCCTTTACCATGTTCAAGTTTTTCATTCCTTTAACAATTGATGGTGGAAGATGAAGTTTATTGATCAGATTGATTTTTATTAATAATTTACCATGGAAGAAAGAGTTTGATTGGTTTGGGTAAAACAGAATCTACACATTTGTATTTTTCTAGAATGTACTTATAAACATAGAATCAACTTACAGAATTCTCCTTTTTACTTTTTTGCAGGTGATTCAAGTAGTTTATGTGTTGCCCCATCTCTAGTTACAGATCAACATAGATGGACTATATATCATTCCAAAGTAAATCTCCCAGCAGCATTAAATGATCCTAGATTAGCAAAAAGAGAATCGGACTTCTTCACAAAAACATGGGGATTGGACTTTGTAGATACAGAAGTCATACCTTCATACTACCTCCCACAGATCAGCAAGGAACATTTTACAGCATATCAACAGGAAATCTCTCAGGTAATACTGAATGTTGAAATTTGTTAAGTCAGGTGAATAGTAATATAAATATTTTTAGTTTGATTGGGTGTAGACTTTTGATGAATAATTTTTGACCAACCTATGGTATTCTTTTTTATTCAAACAAATTCTAATATCCTGGGTTGTTTAATTCTTTCCTTAGATAATATATTTCTCTTTCTGTAGTGATTTTTCAGAATTACACATTCCTATTAGTACTAAGATTCAATAAGAAACATACCCTACCTACCAAGAATAAAAGTAGTTCTGTTAGTCCTATAAAGCCCAGATGACTTCTGAGATTTGAGAAATTAGTAGAGTAGAACTGTTTCTATTTCTCTCATTTATCACAATCTAATGAGCATTCTCTCTGTAGCTCATAGCCTTAATATATCCAGATATGATTGTAACTCAATCTGTTACTTTAAACTCAGTCTGAAAGCAAGAGCTAGTATAGTTCTCCATTTGAGATGGCTTATTCATTCATATTTAGATTTTTAGTGAGTAGCTATTATCAAATAATCCTAGTTAGAGTTTCTTTTTTAAAAAGTTGAAGTGGTACAGGAGATATATATTAATTACATATGTACACATATGTGTACTTTATGTACAGACATATGCGTATATATATATATATGACTCTTTTTTGTTGTTCTTGTTTTGTTTTTGTTTTTGTAACAGGGTGTCACTGTGTTGCCCAGGCTGACCTTGAACTCCTAGGCTCAAGCAGTCCTCCTGCCTCAGCCTCACAGATAGCTAAGACTGCAGGTGCAGTCCATTGTGCCTGGCTCAATACTTATTTATATTTTTATAACTATTGCCTCTTATGCTTTCTCATTCACAAGCCTGATTTGAATTTAGCTGATTTTACTTTACTTGATTACATTGGTCTTTTTATGATTTAGAGATAGGCTGAATATGGTTATACTATTGGCATTAACATTATTCAGTATCTGATTCATTTTTAGTACTAGCAGATATTTTTATACAGAACCACAAATTACAAACTAAAACTAGATACCACCACATATCTATTAGAATGGGAAAAAATCTTTTGTATATATAGATCTTAGAATGTTATCTGGTTCATTAAGCACACTTGTTATTTATATTTAAATTCAGAAGGCTAGTGATTTAATATTAAAATTATGGAAGTAATATGACATATTTTTATGTTCTTTAGTGAAACATTTAGATGCTTAGAATACTCATATTTCTATTTAACATTGATCGTGTTACCTATTTAACTGTTCTTTTTTTAATTAGAGAGAGAAGATTCATGAGAGATGCAAGAATATTTGTCCTCCTAAAGATACCTTTGACAGGACTCTTTTACACACTCATGGTATGAATATGTATTATTGTAGATAATAAAGCATAATATTCATATTAATGAGCAATTTTAATTTTTAAATTTTATATGCTGTTATGTATAATTTTTATTTCTAATAACAATTTTAGAGCCTACTATATTTTTAAAGCTTTTAAGAGAAAAATCATAGGTTGGACAGTAGTGTAATCCTTCAGCTTGACAAATATTTAATACTTTGGTGTTTGGTACTTTGTAATTAAAAATAAAGAAGTAGTAGTCTTGGTTCTCAAGGAGCTGATGGCCTCTTGAGTAGGGTTAAAGAAATAAACAAGTAATTACATCACTGTGTATTAAACAGTAAGTTCAGTGTGGTAAGGATGTACACATAGCATTCCTAACCAACTTCTAGAAATCTTCCCAGGGTTGATGAAGTGCCGTGTTATAGACTAGTGTGAAAATTTATGCAAGAGAAAAGGTATTCCAGGAAAAGTGAACAGTTTATAGAAAGCCATCAAGTCAAGCAAGAACTCCCAAAACTACTTAGGAGTTCAAAGAATTCCAAGAGTCTAGTATATTAGCTCTCCTGAGAGTAAGAGATGAAGCTGACACTATACCCAGGGATTATCTGATCATTAAAGAGCCTTGTATTCCATGCTAAGGAATTTTATTTTTTCTAAAGGCAGTACAGAGTTACTGCCCTCCCCCCTCCCTCTTTCTGCAGTACTGGGGATTGAAGCCAGAGTCTTTGTACTGAGCTATATCCCCAGCCCTCCTTTAGTTTTTTTTATTTAGAGACAAGATCTCCCTAAGTTGCCCAGACTGGGCTCAAACTTGTGATCCTTGTGCCACAGCCTCCCAGAGTGCTAGGATTATAGCCATACACTACCAAGCCTAGGTTAGGCATAAGTTTTAATGACCAATTTGGTAATAGAGTAAGATGATTTACAAATGACTCCCAGTTTCTTGCTTGGGTGTTGAGAGGTGTGATTCAGTCAGAGGGGCAGAATAGAAGGACAAATTTTGGAGCAGATGGAGACCAGTTTAATTGCAGGTTTATAGTCAGGTTAGCAACCTAGAGCTCAGGAAAGAGAAATATAGACTGATATGTATAGGTATGGTAAACATTATCATAGATCATATGCTAGACAGTGGCATGGTAGTTGAATCCAAGGACATGAATGGGATTGCCCAAGGGAGATGTGAATACTTAGAAGAAAAGGACAGATGATAGAACTCTATGATCACATTTAAGGGATAAAGAGAGAATTCCACCTTAGAAGTGAAAAGTAGTGAGATTTTCAGAGAAAAATGATTAGTTTACAGTGTTAGAATACTTTGTGGTGAATCACTTTGCACACTGAAGTCTCTGAGGATTTGTCCGTTAAGAGATCTTAGGGAGAGTATTTAGATTGGAGTAGTGGTTATGGAAACCTCGGTGCTGCATTGAATACAAGAGAAAGAAATATAGATTACTTGTAGGGATGTGACTTGAAGATTACAGTGTGTTGGCTAGAGAGTACAGTGTGGAAGAATGTGTTTTCATGGCCAGGAATAGATGATGCAACAGAGGTACATATTTACCTAACCCTGAGCATGAGTACTTTGTTGCATTTTGCACCTGAGTTGGCTGCCTTGCTTCAGCCTAGTTTTCAACCTGTGCTTCATCTTTTCCTTTTTGTCACTGTTGTTCTTTTTTTTATTCTTTTTCTTCAAGTGGAAGAGAACTGAACTTATTTATATGCAGAGATTAAAATAATTAGTAAAAAGAAAGAGTTTGAAAGATACAGAGTTCACAGAAAAGGTAGGAGGGAACAGAGGCCAAGTTATAGAAAGGTTAATTTTGTAAAGGACTGGAAGTAACTTATGTAAGACTGGATTGGCAGGATTGAAGGTAAAGCAGGTTCATTTATAGATAAATCTGTAGGTGATATAAATTAAGGTGTCTGAAAAGAAAATTGATATGGAATATAGAAGTCTTTGATCATAAGAAACTCTGGATGGGATAGGATGTATTTTAAACAATCAAAACAGTATTTCTGTTTTAGAATTTAATTCATTTTCTAATTTAATTATTATTATTTTTTTTGGTACCGGGATTGGACTTGGGACCTTGCGCTTGCAAAGCAGGTGCCAGAACCACTGAGTTAAATACCCGGCCCCTTAACTTAATTCTTAATATATAATACTTAATTTCACCAAAATTTAAGAAGACCATCTTTCTATATTATTAAAAAAAAAAAAAGAGTTGAAGCTGGGTGTGATGTCACACCCCTGTAATCCCAGCACTCTGGGATGCTGAGGCAGGAGGATCCAAGGTTAAGTCCAGCCTGGGCAATTTAACAATTTATTGAGACCCTGTCTCAAAATCAAGAACAGGAAAAAAAGTGGAGATGTAGCTCAATGAGAAGGCCCTGAGTTTAGTTCCCAGACCTGCAAAGATAGATAAAAATTGAAAAAAATTAAACAACAAAGATTTGAAATGGCCTTTCAGCCGGAACCACCATCTTCCAGTAATTTGCCAAAATGACGAACACAAAGGGAAAGAGAAGGGAAACCCAGTATATGTTCTCTAGGCCTTTTAGAAAACATGGGGTTGTCCCTTTGTCCACATACATAAGAATCTACAAAAAGGGTGATATTGTAGACGTCAAGGGAATGGGTACTGTTCAAAAAGGAATGCCACACAAATGTTACCATGGCAAAACTGGAAGAATCTACAATGTTACCCAGCATGCTGTTGGCATTGTTGTAAACAAGCAAGTTAAGGGCAAGATACTTGCCAAGAGGATTAATGTGCGTATTAAGCATATTAAACACTCAAAGAGTCGAGATAGCTTCCTGAAACGGGTCAAGGAAAATGATCAGAAAAAGAAGGAAGCCAAAGAGAAAGGTACCTGGGTTCAACTGAAGCACCAGTCTTCCCCACTCAGAGAAGCACACTTTGTGAGAACCAATGGGAAGGAGCCCGAGTGAGTTGTTGGAACCTATTCCCTATGAATTCATGGCATAAGCTGGGGATGTAGCTCTGCCATGCAGCACCTAATTAGCAGCTGAATGCCCTAATGTCTACTTCAAAATAAAAAATCATCCTGTGTTGTAAGGATGGTTTTCTTAATTGAACAGGTGTGTGGTGCCTTTACCTCAGAGAAACAAATATTTGGAGTAGATTCTCATTATACCCAGTTAATTGTGTCAGGTCTTTACCCTTTAGTGTTTTTCTTGCTGAAAGATGTGAGGTATTGTACAGATGTATACCTAAATGGCCAAATATTTATGAAATACTTATATTGGCTTGATCCTCTAAATCACCTTGGGGACAAAATGTATCAAAATAAATGGAAGTCAGTATATGGCATTTCAGTTAAATAAATTGTTTAAATCACCAGAAAAATGATTTGATATGTATTTGTTGTTTTATTGCTACCAAACAATTGATTAAAATTATTTGAAACATGTTTTATTTTATCCTTTACTTATTACTGTACACACAGTGAGTGGATTGGTGGATACATGATGAAGGAAAAAACTTAAGTCATTTTGTTGTGACCTAGTACTGTACTGAATGTATTTTATGGAGCTATAATTAAAGCAAGTTTAAAAAATCATGTTTTTCTTTTTGTAGATAAATCCAGGACAGATCTGGATCAAGTACCTAAGGTAACAAAGCTTAAAAATGAGAATACTCTTCTTTAATATTTGGCCTTTAATTTTGTCTTATAAATTTTCATTTGACTGTTCACATTTGGGCCACTTTACCTCTTCTGAGGCTTTGTTGTATCACCTTTCTTTTTCTTTTTTAAGTGAAAAAATAATTGGCAAATTAAAATTGCATATGTTTAATATTCTTTCTCTTTTGTATTGTCATTCTCTTTCTCATCACTGAAACGTATGCTTAAGCCTGTTCTGAAAAAGAATTTTATTGATTTTACTACCCCTTAAAATTATTAAAAGATATTTTCTTTGTATGAAAAATGTTGTAGAGTTGTATAATACATGCATTTTTTGCTAGGAAGGGAGTCCATTGTATTCATCAGATTCTCAAAGAGGTCTGCAACAATTGCTCTTTAGGATGAGAAAGAAACGGAAAACTGAGAGGGAGATCATTTTCAAAATTCTTTGATGTGTACAAAATAAAATTCATACTGTCATTTAAAGTCTTTCATGATTTGCTTCTATCATAGTCACACTTCTAACTTTTGCCTATTAAAAATAGCTTTATACATTTTTTACTTTGGCCACATTGGCTTTTGCTGGTGTAATGGTCTACTTGCACTGTTCCCTCAGCCTGGAGGACTTTTTGGTCATCTTCCCTTGTGTAACGCTTTGCAAGTTTCTGCTACCATGGCAACTTTGCATGTACAAGAGTACTGTATACTTTTTTTCCCTAGCTGAAGATGACTGGTCCCTTTGCCAGATTTCCATAATGTTTTATCTCGGAACTCTCTCCTCTCCTCCACCCAAGGCATTTGTCACTTCTTCCCTTGCAAGATTTTACATAATTGTCTCTCTGTATCCACAGAGAATTGGTTCCAGAGCACCATCCCCCCTTTTGGATATCAAAATTCTCAGATGCTTACGTTCATTATACATTGTATATTACCTACACATGACCTCTTCTGTACTTTAAATAATTTCTAAATTACTTACAATATCCAATATGATATAAATGCTATGGAAATAGTTGTTATACTATATTGTTTAGGTAATAATGACAAGGGAAAAAAGAATGTGCATGTTTAGTACAGATGTAATTTTTTTCAAATGTTTTTGATGCTCAGTTAAATAAGAGAGTTGACTATATACATATTTTAGTTCATTCTTTGGAATGAAAATCCTTGAATACGACCTGAGTAGTAATTTATGTTCTTTTTTTTTCCCTCAGTGCTTACTGTAAGAGACAATTAATAGGTATTTATTGAATTAGTTAATACCTTTCATTATAATTCTAAAGCAGGAATTAGGAAATTTACTTCTGTTCTTAATTAGATTTTCCCTATCATAGTCATACTAGTTTTGTGAATATAGCGAAAATGAATCAGTAAATAAAATACAGCATAAAGATTAATAAATCGATTGATTAAACCATGTTTTAGGCCTCATACTTGGTAGTAGTTGTACAATCATTAAGAAGTTATAAATCAAATTGTGTCGGAACAGATGCTCTATAGGGAGAGAGATATATATTTAATAATTTCTGTGAAATAGGACATAAATAATTTATTGAGGTAAATGTGATTAATCTCTGTGTCATACCCAGAGAAATATTTACCTTTTTGATTGGGTCATGTTTTCCAGATAGGCAGGAAGGGGCATTCTAAGACAGGATGTGTAAAGAAATTTAAGCATAAGAAGATAGAGAAGATAGTTGAGTACTGATAGAATGTGATGTGTAAATAGTGAGAGGGAGTGATAAGATACCAAAAAGATAAGTGGGATCAAAAAATGTGATGAATTTTGATGCCATTCTAGATTGTTTGTTCAGTGGGTCATGAGAATCCAAGGAGAGCTTTAAATAGGAAAGTTAAGACAATTATACTTGACGTTTAAAAAGGGTACCTCTTGGGCCGGGGATTTAGCTCAGTGGTTCCGGCGCCTGCCAAGCAAGCACAAAGTCCCAAGTTCAGTCCCTGGTACCAAAAAAAAAACAAACCAAAAACCAAAAACCAAAAACAAAAAGAAAACATAAAAAGGGTACCTCTGACACCAAAATGGGATAGATTAGGGAGGGAAAACAGTAAATTATTATTTATTGTAAGCCTCAGATAATGAAGAACTGAATGATGAACACTGAGGAGACAGAGAAGACAGGGAATTCAAAGAATATTTAGGAAATATAACATGTAGGTTTTAATGACTAGCTGGATATAGTATGTAAGAGGAAATGAACATTCTCTTCATGAAGTTGAAATTTTTGGTTTTAAATTTTAGTGTGTGTTTTAAAATAATTTTTGAAAGAATTTTGAGCAAGAGAAAATAGAAATATAAGTTAGAAAATTGAAATTTGACAAAAAACTATCAGTGGGAAATAATATGGAAATTTTAGGGTAAGTATGGTATTTCTGTTTGTTATGTGCCTAATGGGACTACCTTAGTGAGTTTGAGCATGTAGTAATGGACTAACCATCTCTATTGGTAAAAGCAAAAAACATTTTTCTATTTTTTTATGAGAATTTTTAGTTTGTTGAACATTGTACAATTTTATGATCTAGATTTTTGTGTGAATAATATCACTTGCTTTTGTTCTTCATACTTAAGATCTAAGTTAATTTTTGCTTAATAGTCTTGTAATGTTAGAAGGAATAATGGATATAAAGAAAGTGTTTAGTCTAATTGAAGAAAATGTGTTCTTTTAATAGATTTTTATGAAACCAGATTTTGCCTTGGATGATTCCTTAACTTTTAATTCAGTTTTACCATGGTCTCATTTTAATACTGCTGGTGGAAAAGGTAATCGTGATGCAGCTTCATCAAAGTTGCTTCAAGAAAAGGTAATTTCTCTTTGACTTTTTTTTTTAATGTGGAAAACTTTATTCTGGTTAAGTGGTACCATTTGTGTGAATTTAGATTTAGTTATTTAGTAAGCTGTATTTAGTTATTAAATAAGCTACATTTCTTTTAATCTTCCTCTCTCTCTTTTTTCCTCCCTCCCTGTCTCCCTCCCTCCCTCTCTCCCTCTCTATCTGGCTGTCTCTCTCCCCCTCTTCTGTCCTTCTCTCTTTCTCCCCTGTTCTGAGGATGAAATCCATTATCTCCTTCATGCTAGGCAAGTGTTCTACCACTGAGCTACATCCCCAGCCTAAGTTCATTTTTGTTGTTACTGATAATTATAATCCTTCTAATTTTAACTGATAAACTAATAGCATTTTGGTTCATTGGGAAAAAAAAAGTTGTGCGTGCAAAAAAGGAAAAATTTTGAGAGCTAACCTGAAATAGCAGTTGAAGGAATTTTAATTGAAAGGATACATTAGCAGGATGAATTGCTTTGTATTTCCCAAGCAGTTCTGTTATGTGTCAGCTAATTTTATAAGAAAGATTTTAGGTACAGAAAGCCAACTTTTCCTGAAATGCTGGGTTTTTTTATACTTTCACAGTAAAGATTATTTTGAAGCAAAAAAGTCTTCATTTAAAAATATAACATTTCTACTATACTTTTGGCTTTCCAAGTCTAGTCTTTTGCATGTTATCCAACAGTTCTTTAAACTTTACAGTGTTCTACATTTCAGAAGCCAACATCTATAATTTAGAACTTTAAACTTACCAATAATCTTCTAAAACTTGAATGATAACAAAAACTTATGATCTCTGTTCTTTTTCCACACTTGGTTTTAGAGCCTTTCTATAACCGACTGTGATTTTTTTTTTTTTTTTGGGGGGTACCAGGGATCAAACTCGGGTCCTTGCGCTTGTGCAGCAGGTGGTGAAACTGCTAAATCCCTGGCCTCCAACCGTGATTCTTAAAATGAGAAGAAAGCACTTTATTACACTCTAGTAGCATGGCCTGGCAGTATGAAAGCTTGCCTTAGGAAGACTATTCGGGTAAATTAGGCTGAGTCCTCCTCAGTAACTGAAGAAGAAAGGACAGGGTTGGGAGGTGAGATGTGGGAAGTCATGAGTGTTCTTCTCACAGCTGAAAATGAAAATGAGCTCACTTTTCCCCTGGGCAACATTTTCAAGTATAAAAAGTATTCCTTGAGTAAGAACACATTCATAAATCTGATGAAAATTATGGGTTTACGGATAGACTTGCTCCCAGACTGTGTTTTCACATTCCAAGTCTGTGCCCTGGTAGGATAGTATTTTAAAGAAAGAAAAACAAATGCCAATAAAAATCTCATAAATCTATGCAGATACTTTTAGAAATACTTAAAAAATAGTTTCTTTTATTGCATCTTAATAGGAAATAAATTATGAAAACATGCCTTTGAAAAGAATAGTTCAGTAGAATATTCATGAATTCCAAAAGCCATTGAAATTCAAATGAAATACTTTTCTCAACCTAAATGTTTAGTGACTAAGGCATAGAAAAATTTTTTATATTTGTAAGTTATAGAATTAGGTTTACTATATTTATATTCTGAGACCTTTTCATTCTATCCTGTTGTTAGAGTAGGAGGAATGGAAGACAGAATTCTGAAATAGCACTTTTAAGCTCCCGTTATGATGGACAACTTTTTTATCTTGCTAGCTTTAAATAAAAGAAATACTACAACTAGAATTAAAGAAATTTGTGTCCTATTTTGTGCTACTCAAAGTGCTGGTCTCTGAGGATGTAGCTCATTCCCAGAGTGCTTGCCAATGGAGAAAAGTGGAAAGATGACATGGCATTTAGAAAGGAAGAAATGACAAATAGTTTTAGAAGTTTATATTTGGTATTTAGAAGGCATATTTATATAAGAATTAATCTTTATAGTATTAAAATATGTATGAGCTAATTATTTGCAGTGATGGTGAATCTTTTAGAACTTTCAATGATAACAGCCAGCTATGGCAGGCGTGCCATAGGTTCACCACCACTGATTTAAGGCATTTATCCCTTTTTTAATTAAGGGGATAATACATTGAAAATAAAAATTTTAATAATTGATAAAAGAATCATTTTTGAAATGTAAAATAAACAGCCTTGAAATAAAGTCCAAATGAATTCTAGTATTTTCTGTAATTTAAGACTGAACAGTAAGTTTGTCTTTTGTGGATTCTGTAGCATTTTGAAGAAGGAGTGTATAATAGAAAGAACTTCAGATTTTGTGTCTGATTAACCTGGGTTTATATTTTAGTTTTGCCACTTGCTAAACACATGATTTTATTCAAGTTATTAAGTAAGGTCTGTGTTTCCTCACCTGTAAAATGTGAAGAATAATTGTACTTGTATCCTAAGGTTATTAGAAACCCTATACATATACCTGTGCCTAGTACACAGAAGGACAAGATCAAAAAGTGGAAACTATAATTATCTACTTCTACTAAGTCTGATAAGTGATGTGTGATGTTGGTGGGGGCCAAAGAGATCATTCTCTCTCAGATCTTAGAATTTCTAAAATTAGAATTATAATCTGAGATAGTTGTAGGGTATTCTTACCTTTTATAAAGTAGTTGGTATTTGGAAGGTAGTCATGGCAGGAGCAGAGAAAGAAGATAAATCACCGAGTTTTTTGTCTTACATTAAAAAATTTTTTAAAATTTTTTGTTAGTATGTGTTTATAGTATATAATGATCACATTCTTTATGTAGTACATGTACATAACACATCTTAATTCTTTTTTCATGCCCTTCCTTTTATCTCCCTCTCCCTTCCCTCCCTCTCTTGGTCCCTTGCCTCCCTCTCTTGGTCCCTTGCCATTTGCAAAAGACTTATCTCCTTATTTCCTATTATCTATCTTTTATTTTGTTCTTTATATGTGTTTTTGATTTCTCATTATAACAGAAACTATGCAATATTTAACTTGTATGTCTGACTTATTTCACTTACCATTATGGTCTCAAGGTGCATCCATTTTCCTTCAAATGACTCAAGTTTACCTTTCTATATGGCAGAGTGTGTGTTATATATAGTATATAAATACAATATTTTCCTTATCCATTCATCTGTTAATGGACATATACATCACTTCCAAGAGTTTGTTGTTATGGATTGTGCTGCTATAAACACGGGTATGCATGTATCACTGTAATACTTCTTTAACTCTTTCAGGAAGATACCTAGAAGGGAAACAACTGAGTCAAAAGGACTTTCTGGTTTAATTTTTTGAGGAATCTCCGTCCTGATTTCATAGTGGTTGTACTAGTTTACAGTCCCACCAACAATTGTAGAAAGGTTCCTTTTTCCCCACCCTCCAGCCTCGCTAGCTAGCATTTTTTATTATTTGATTTCTTGATAATAGCCATTCTTTCTGGAGTAAGATTGAATCTCAGTGTTGGTTTAATTTGCAATTTTCTAATAGCCAGAGATGATGAAGCTTTCTTCATCTATTTATTGGCCCATTGTACTTCTGAAAAGTGTCTTTTTTTCCATTGCTCTTTTTTGGGGGGGGGTACCAGTTAGCAAACTCAAGACCTTACACTTGCGAGGCAGGTGGCGGAACCACTGAGCTAAATCCCCATCCCCATCGCCCATTTTTGATTGGGTCTTTTTTGCTATCTTATTTTGAGGATCTAATTTTTTTGAATTCTTTATGTATTCTAAATATTAGTCTTCTGTGTGAGGAACAGCTGGCAAAATTTTTTCCCATTCTGTGGGTTGTCTGTTCACTCAGTTGTTTCCTTTGCTGTGCAGAAGCTTTTTAGTTTGATATACTCCTATTTGTTGATTCTTGATAGTATTTCTTATACAATTAGGGTTCTGTTTAGAAAGTCCTTGCCTATACCTATGTCTTCAAGAGTTTTACCTATTTCATCTTTCATTAAATTGTTTCTGTTTTAAAATTTAGATCTTTGTCCAAATTTGATTTTAGTTTAGTAAATGGTGAGAAGTATGGGTCTGGATTCAGTCTTCTGCATCTAGCTTTTTCTGCAGGGATGGTTTTTAGCCCCTTTGTCAAAGATCAGATAGCTGAATACAACTACAGTTGGTTCTGCATCTTCTATTCTGTTCCACTGATCCGTTTAGTGGCACTTGGTTTTTGTACTACTAACATACTGCTTTGTTTGTTTGTTTGTTTGTTTTTCTTAAACTCTTTTATTGGTACATTTTAGGTATACAGTACATTTACATGTATCATTGGGTGCTTGTACCTGTACATGATGTATCTTGGTTCTTATTTTTTTCCCATTACCTGTGCGCCCTTCCCTATTTACATACTTCGTTTCCATTTTTTTTCTTTTCTCATAATTTTTCCTTTCCATTCTTTCCTTACCCCATCTCCTCCCACCACTGCTACCCCTTTGAACCTTTTCCTATTTCACAATATCAATTATTAGTTATTAATCCTTTTAGTCCTTATTTACACTATCATTTTCTCACACTAGAGAAACTATTCGGTATTTACATGTGTGTCTTATTTATTTCACTTAAGAGTATGGCCTCAATATACATCCATTTAGCTATAAATGACTCTAGTTTCTCATTCTTTATGGCTGAGTAGTACTCCATTTTATAAAAAAACCCACATCTTCTTTATCCAGTTTCCAGTTGATGGGCACTTGGGCTGTTTCCAAGCTTTAGCTATTACAAACTGTGCTGCAATAAACATGGGTACACATATATCACTGTGGTATGATTCTTTTAATTCTTTTGGGAAAATACCCAGCAGGGAAATAGCTGGGTCAAATGGGACCTCTAGCCCTAGTTCTCTGAGGTATCTCCACATTGATTTCCATAGTGGTTGCACCAGTCTGCACTCCCACCAACAATGGAGAAGGGTTCCTTTCTCTTCACACCCTCATCAGGATCTGTTTTTAGTTGATTTCTTGATAGCAGCCACTCTTTCTGGGGTGAGGTGGAATCTCAGTGTTGTTTTCATCTGCATCTCTCGAATGACCAGTGATAACATACTGTTTTTATCATTGTAACTTTGTAGTATAACTTTTAAATCCACTGCACCTTTCATTTTGTTGTGTCTGATTGCAAGGTTCCCATAATCTTATCAATTACACACCAGAATTTAAAATACATGTAAAAATCTTTTACATTTTCATTTTTGAAAAGTATGTAGATAGTCAAGGAAGGAATATGTGTAATAGTCCATGTGTTTTTTTTTTTTTTTGTCTTCTCTTTTAAGCTGAGCCATTATCTGGATATTGTGGAAGTAAACATTGCTCACCAGATTTCTCTACGTTCAGAAGCATTTTTTCATGCAATGACCTCTCAACATGAATTGCAGGACTACCTCAAGAAAACTTCCCAGGCTGTAAAAATGCTTCGAGATAAAATTGCACAGATTGATAAAGTAATGTGTGAAGGATCACTACAGATTTTAAGACTGGCACTTACCAGAAATAATTGTGTTAAAGTATACAATAAACTGAAGTTAATGGCCACTGTACACCAAACTCAGCCTACAGTACAGGTGTTGTTATCCACTTCTGAATTTGTTGGAGCATTGGACTTAATAGCAACAACACAAGAGGTTCTACAGCAGGAACTTCAGGGCATTCACAGTTTCCGGTATGTTAATTAAGCCATTAGAAATGGTAGAAGATTTTAAAGGATAAATATGAGCATGTAATGTAAAAAGTGTGGCTGTATTCAAAGTAAAATGTCTTTTTACTTTCCAGATTGATCTCTTTAATAATGTTATTCTAACATTAGTAGCAGAAAATTAAGGAATAATATGCAGACATTTCAGTAGAGGAGCAAAATTAAAATTTTTACTTGATAAATACTAGGCAGTCACAACTTTGAAAATATTTAAATAGCTTTGTGTCAAAATGGTAGATCAAGGTGGAGAGGTGAATGTCAGTATATTTAAAATTAAGTTGATTTAAGGGCTTTTAATAGGTTTTTAATTGAATAATTATTAAGATTCATTTCTGATTTGCAGTTAATCACAATGCCAAATATTCCACATGGCAATGGTAAATACTCTGTTTCTCCTGCCTTCCTACTTTAAAAATGTCTTTTTTCTTTTCTCTTTTTAAAAGGCTATAATTTGGTTTTGAAATTACACATAGAAAAAAAATCTTCAGATTAGAGTTTTAGATATTTTATGCAAAATCAAGTCAAAGTGTTTATTTTGTAGACTAGTATAAGCTGTCAAAATTTCATTTAGTTAAGCTGTCTCTAGCACTGCATATATGATTTTTGAAAAAGACTTTCATTTCTATGATAGTCTGCATTTTGCTCAAATATCTTCCTATTACTATTTTCTTTAGAGCCTACATTTATGAAGAGTATTTATTCTTTATATAAACCATTTCTGTAAAGCTACCTATCAGTCCCTTTATGATTGTAATTTTTAAAGTTTGGTATCAGAACTTGAGTTTTTGACTTCTGATATACATCTCTATATGCAAATAATTTTCAAATTAAAAATATGGTGCTCTAAAACATTTGTTTAATAATGGAAGAATACTGACATATACTTGAAATAGTTTAAGACTAAGTTATTATAACCTAGTTTTTTTGTTTTAAATTTCTGTCATATCTGATGATTTATTGTCTTGACTTTATCTTTCCTTTTGCTGAGATTGTTGAATATCAGTATTACTTTCTTGTATAGCATCACAGGTAATTTTACAGCCATCTAACTTTATTTGGAAATATAAGATTAGTTTTGAATCCTTATGTTTTTGTCTAATCAGTCAAGAGAAAGGTACATATAATAAGTTTCTTCTCTGCTGTAAACATTAGTGGTGTCAAATAATGTGTTCTCCTTAGCTTAGGGGTTAAAAGGTACTTTACTTGAATCTCACCTCCCTTTTTAGTACCTGGGACTTATTGTTATTTTTTATTTTCTTTTTTTCTTTCCTTTTCTTGTGATGGAGTCTTTTTATATAGCCCACACTAGCCTCAAACTCAAGAACCTCCTGCCTTAAGCTCCTGAGTTCTGGGATTACAGTAGGCATTTGCCACTGTGCCTTTGTAGAGCATATTTTAGAAGAGCATGTACGATATTCAGACTTAAGAAATCTTTCCCTTAATAATAAACAACCAAAGCACTCTATTGAGTTAAGTTGTTAATAGTTTTTCTGTATTATAAATCTTAGTACAAGTTTTACTTTTGGCTGTGGTATTTTTTCTGTTGCTTTTAAAAGAAAATTCTATACCAGAATCTTCCATTAATCAAATTACCACAAATACAAATCTCTGTTTTTTAAAAATAAAATTTATTTATTAGTATAAAATGTGTTAACCAGGCAATCTAAGAATGTATTCAAGATGCACTTTGCAAAGAAGTTATATTTAACTTTCAAACT